GATACATCAGTGGACAAGTTTCTCAAAGAGGACTCAAGAAGCAATGGATGCCGTATCCCTTCTACATCTATAGATAAAAGTTCAGATTGGGAATTGTTACAATTTCTTGAACTTAAAGCTGGACAGGCACCACCTATCCATTGAGCATGAGCAGCTCTTGCAAATGCAAGATCAATTTCCAATATTCTATCTAATAAGTGTTTTATTTTCATATTAGATTCAGCTATTTCCGATGTAAGCAAACTCAAAATTGTTTGCTCCTCAATCCTCTCAGAACTAGAAAGCTTAACTTCCATGTTGTTCAACTCAACTGCCTCTTTAGGTTCCATAAAGTATGTAGATCCACTACTGCTCGTATCTAGAATTACGGCATTAGGAAGCAAAGATCTATGGGAAGCTCTGACAGCAACACACAGTCTTGAACGGCGCTTGGTTACTAAAGGTCTGTCAAATCCCCCACCCTGAAAAACTTGAGTTGATAATTGCTTCAACAATGATTCTAGATTTTCCATGTTCCGTTTTCTCTCAGACCTTATAATTTCCAAATCTTCACTAGCTCTGTCAAGGATTGCTGAAAAGCTGCAATCAATACAGAATTCTATTTTTTGCTCCAATTCCACAAGAAAATCACAATTGTGAAGAATTTCCTTCAGAGGAGAGTACCTGTTTGAACATAATTAGACATTCTAATGAAACTGCTCAATACTATTTAAATGGCACTTCATGAGAATCCATCACTACCACATGAGACATGCTTCGCCATTTTGAGTTAACTGCAATTAGGAGTAGGAAGGCATTCTCAGAAGGCATAGAAAACAAAGGGCAAGCACACTCTAGGTGAATTCATCTTTGGATTTAACTTTATAAGAACTCATATTCATAATCAAGAAACTCTTGGGTTTCAAACATCATTTAAAAAAAAGGAAAAAAAAATGAACCACCAATACAAATGGAAAGAACTTTTTGTTTACTTTAATATTCGAAATTCAATGGTCCGACTAGTTCGAATTTTCATTAAGGAGGAGTGAAACACTCCTTTCAAAAAGATTCTCAATTTTCAGTTTTCAGTTTTCAGACGAGACTTTTAATAAAGAGCGAAATGATATCATGCAATGATGTGAGAAACATGAGCCAAAAAAATCAAAAAAAAAAAATATCCGGATGTCAATAGTTAAGTGGAGTATCAAATACAGCAATACACCTGCCAGAAAAATCACTCAGCGAAGCAATTTCCTCCAACTGTTGGAGCAAAAACCTCGCCGCTCCCAAGGTCCGTTTCACAGAGCAAAGCTCACGAATTGAGAGTACTCCGCCGGCAATGGAAGCATTAACAATAGGGGAAACATCCTCAATTCCGGAGAAATCCAACGGCCGGGGAACTGCCACGGCGGCGGAGGTCTGAGAGAGGAGTTTCCCGCTCTCTTCAGGAGTTTTACCCACCGGAATCAGAGCAGATTGTGCGGCAGCGAAGCCCATGGATGTGGAAGTGAAGGCGGAGAGCTGGCGACAGACGGCGGGCCATTCTAGAAGCTTCAGGGTCTCGGATTGGAGTGACTCGGCGAGTTTGTCTCTGTGAGTTGACTCGGATGAGAAGCGGACGGAGAACCGAGTTGCACGAGGATTGTAGAGCGAGGTGTGACGTGGAGGAAGATGATTGGTGAAGAGAGTGTTGTTGAATTTGCAGTTGAAGAGGTTCATTGAAGATTGAGTTTTGAATTATTGTTTTTGCTGAGTTATGTGTGTTGTGTTATCCAGGTACTCTAAAATGGAGGGAAGGGTGGGTTTAGATCTTCTGTGTTTAGATACACAGCGGTACTGTGAGTTGTCAATTTTTTTTTTCCCGTAGGCTTCTTATTTCTTTTTTCGCTTTTCTTTTTAATATCTGGTGTACAAGTTGGCGCATGAATGGCAAAACACTTTCTTTTTTTTTTTTGGGTGCAATGGCAAAACACTTAATTCAATTTAGTTGTTTACATTAAATTATATGTATGTGTTCATACTAAGTTTAAGAAAGAAATGAAACAAGAAATAAACACAATAAGTGTAAGGAATCACCAATCGTTTGCTAGATCACAAGTCTTTGACAGCTTTGCTTTTAGTTAGCCAGCCTGCTATTGCTTCCTCTTTGTCAGTCTTTATTGAGAATATGCAAATAAAAATTTTGTTGTTCTATTGGTTCTGGAATAAAGCACTGAAAGGTCTGTCTTTCGGTTTGTAAATGTATTATGATCAAAATTTTGCTTACATCTTCTACTGATTGAGTTGCTACACTGCTAACAAAACTCATGTGGTCGCTAAAATTGCAAAAATGTGTGGGGATAGATTTTCAAAGAAAAACCTTATTTGATATTTTTATCTTCGGGTATCGAGGTATCGGAAGGCAAAACTTTGGATATCGAGGTATCAGTGGTGTTGAGGGTATGAAACCTGAATATACGTGTTAGTTGTTTGGTGTTGAGGTGACGGGCGTGTGGACGTGCACCGTGTGAATTGTGACTCCGTTATTTCTGTGTTACTGTGTAGTTGCCTGATCTTATCTGTAACCATGAAATCTCAACGTACTAGAGCTCATGAGCTGTGATCCATGTTAGAAACAATATCTAGGCTACATGTTTATTCTGTTGGGACCCACTGAGGTCATTTATGTTGTTGAGTTATTTGCTTACATTGCAATTTCATACTCAGTCATGTTCATTCATTTCATATCATATCACAGTCTCCGTTGCTATTTATTGACACATCATATCATCATTTTTTGGCTAGTTTCATGACATTGTGATCCCGAGAGACTGGAGAGATTGATGACTGAGTGAGGCCGAAGGCCTGATTGTGAGTGACATTGTGGGAACGGGCTGCACACCGCAGCATGTTATATTGATTTATGCTTGGATCTGGCTTATTATGGCGTTTGGGCTGAAGGAGCCCCTCCAGAGTCTCTACACACCATCAGTGAACGCAGTTGATCTATATTGAGGGATGGATCTTTTCTGGGCATGAATCTTGGCCGAATCATTTATATTTGGGTATGGATCTTCCCCGGGATGGATTGGCCTTATACAGTACTGAGTGACTAACTGTCAGTTGCTATATATATTTGGGATGGATCTTTCCTGGGCTGGATTGGCTATATATAGTACTGAGTGACTGAGCGTATCGAGTGATTGAGCATGATGAGTGGAAAGTGTGAGACAGTGAGATTGAGTACTCTGAGAGTGTGAGTACATGAGTTCATCTATGAGATACATTGCATTGGACATGCACACTTGACATACAGGCATAGAGATGTATTTTTCTCATATTGTACGGTATTACGACATTCATGACTTCTCACACATATTGACATATAGGCATAGAGATGTATTTTTCCTCATGCCATTTGAAATGAAATATTTACCTGTTGAAAGCTTTGGGAAAAATTACAATTTTCAAACTTAATCATATTTTTGGTGATTTCGGTAAAGGATTTGAGTTTTCACTGATATACTTGAAAAGCAGACCTATTTTCTGGAACTGTGAATGAGCTGAGCATTTTATCTCTGAGTTACTTCTTTTATTACTTTTATTTTGCTGTATGAACTGTTGTTGGCTATTGGTGTTGGACTCTGACCCTTGTCCCAGTTCGTCACTACTTTCAACCTAAGGTTAGGTTTGTTACTTATTGAGTACACGAGGTCGGTTGTACTCATACTACACTTCTGAACCTTGCGTGCAGATGTTGGATGTTGATGTTGCTGCGTACGACGGGAGCTGGATCGGAAGTTGTACCTGCGTTCCAGCCACAGCTGCCTCTTATTCTTGGTAGCTTTAGAATTATTAATCTGTTCATGTTTATTTCAAACAGATGATGTATTCTTATTTCACACCAGCGTTATAAACTCTAAATCTTAGAAGCTAATGATTTGTACTACCAGTCCTTAGGATATGTATAAGATTCAGATATTTTCTTTTACTTATTTGTCTTATTAAATTTCGTTGGAATTTGATAGTTGTTAATTGGCATACCTAGCAGATTGGGTTAGGTGACATCACGACTAGTTGGATTTTGGGTCGTGACATTACCTCTATCGTTAGTGCTTTCCAACGATCATGGTAAACATTAGGCAGTCTCTTGATCGTGCATGATAGGGAATACCAAAATAAAAATAATAATATACGAGGAACGTCTTTATGTTGGACAAGTAAATAATTAGTTATCTCTGTCAAGTGACTTTGATTTTCTTTCCTATTTAATGGGAATCTACCAAATTAAATTTTATACTAGCATTATGCACATATTATCATTACTAAAATAATTTACCCAAAAATAATACATCACCCTAGCAGTGCTTTCACACGGAAAAAGATGCACATAACATGCACTGACTCACTTGTTAACTTCTTTAAGGACTAAAATCTCATATTTACTTTATTGTTGTGAAAAAACTCACCAAGTAACATTAAACTCTCTAGTATGCACCTAAACTGTCTTATTATAATATTCGTAATAAGATTATTCACTTTGAAATATATACATGCCCTGGTCGTGGAGGATGAGTTAATGTAGGTTTAATTTTTTCTCCTTTGGCTTGTGCCAAATTAGTTGCTGGAAATATGAGTGTTCATGGTTAGTATTATCCAACTAACCATTATTAGCATTTGCTATGTTGTGAAATAGGAAATATCAGAATATATAGTTTTAAATCTTTTGCATGTCACACTTAAACAAGTTACAATCTTGTAGGTGATTCCCATTATACTGAGTGAGATCAATGTTGGAAAGGCACCAAAGTGGATTTCCCTTGCTTATAACTCCATGGTGCTATGGGGAAGTACTAGCACGAAAGAAGTAAACATGGCAGAATCTCACAACCTCCGTTATGCTTGGAGATGGTCCTTTGCCAAAAGTGAGTTTCTGGCGTTGCCACTTCTTGTACTGTCTTTCTTTCTTAGTGAGACACCGAGGTTTCTCATTAAGAAAGGGCGTATGGAGGAGGCAAAAGCGTCCCTTAAGATGTGAGGAAATGTGGAGCAGAAGCAAAGCTGCAAATGTTAGCAGGCATGATGGAAAACAAAGGCAAGAGGATAACAAAGAAACTGTCACACTCGCCCCTTTTATTTCTTAACATAGTGGCTCAAATTTTCCAGCAAGTGTTTGGCTTAGACTCAATACGATTCTTTGGACCATTACTTCTACAGTTAACTAGATACACCTATAATGCCTCCTTCGTCGCTCCGCTCATTGTCGGAGTTGTTCGAGTTGGAGTTGTTGGACTCACTTATCCGAGTTACAGCTTATTCAGCCGATGGAGGACTCTAGTCTCGGCATCTTCAGGCGTGATTTTAGCACAAGTACTTCTTCATTTCTTTCTTATTTAGGTTTTCTTTATATAGATCAATTTTTATTAACTGAAATATAGCATATGTAACTTAATATCACTTTTCTCGGATTTTTTCAGGTTTCCTTGTTGGGTCTCTTCCTTTTGGTAGGAGACCATATCTTTCAACTGAGCTAAAAGTGTGCCTATGTTGGCATGGCATTTGCCATCCCCCTCATAGGCTGCTATTCAATGTTCTCGGGGCCTTCTAAGTGGACTGAAGAATCGTGCGCCGAAGAGATTAGAGCGTTAGGCGCATGCTGGGAGACGAGCATATCTTTGCTCATGTCCCTAATCATGAATCTATCCGTTTCGATGCTCCTTTGTGCTCTTAAGGCTTGGCTATACGTGCTATTTGCTGCTCTAACATTGGGAATGCGCTTCTCAATTTATAAATTTTTGCCCGAGAGAAAAAAGAAGGATGGCGAAGGAGATCTCCTCAAACCACATTGGTTTTGGAAGAGGTTTCTTCAAAAAGATGGCAATGTTGATGCCGTGTAGCTGTAAGTTATTGTTCTTTACTATAAAACTATAATTTACATGGATTGTTCTTATGTATTCCTGAGATTTTGGGTATACGTTCTTTTCTAGGATGGTAGAAGCACTCTACCTATGTGGCAGATCAGGAGCTTAATTCTGTAGATTAACCAACTGATGGCTTTAGGGAGGTTTTAAGTAACACATTGCTACGGGGAAGCAAATTTTTAGTTGATTACCTTGCTAATTTAGGCGTAGTTTAAAGACATGATATATTCTTCACTGAGGCTTTCTCTCTTTGTCAGTGCAACCCAAAGCCTTACTGAAAAATGATAGAAATAGCTATCAAGTGACTTTGATTTTCTTTCCTATTTAATTCGAATCTACTAAAATAAATTTTATACTAACATGATGCACATATTATTGTTAATAAAATAATTTACGCAAAAATAATACATCACCCTAGCAGTGCTTTCACATGGAAAAAAAAGATGCACATAACATGCACATGACTCACTTGTCAACTTCTTTAAGGACTAAAATCTCATATTTACTTTATTATTGTGAAAAAAACTCATCAAGTAACATTAATCTCTTTAGTATGCACATAAATTCTCTTATTATAATATTCGTAATAAGATTTATTTACTTTAAATATTTCCATGCCCTGATCGTGGAGGATGAGTTAATGTAGGTTTAATCTTTTCTCCTTTGGCTTGTGCCAAATTAGTTGCTGGAAATATGAGTATTCAAGGTTAGTATTGTCCAACTAACCATTATTAGCATTTGCAATGTTGTGAAATAGGAAATATTAGAATATATAGTTTTAAATCTTTTGTGCTTCATATTGCATGAAACACTTAAACAAGTTACAATCTTGCGGGTGATTCCTATTATACTGAGTGAGATCAATGTTGGAAAGGCACCAAAGTGGATTTCCCTTGCTTATAACTCCATGGTGCTATGGGGAAGTACTAGCATGAAAGAAGTAAACATGGCAGAATCTCACAACCTCCGTTATGCTTGGAGATGGTCCTTTGCCAAAAGTGAGTTTCTGGCGTTGCCACTTCTTGTACTGTCTTTCTTTCTTAGTGAGACCCCGAGGTTTCTCATTAAGAAAGGGCGTATGGAGGAGGCAAAAGCATTCTCTAAAGCCTTACTAAAGGTTTCTTAGTGAGATATTCTTCACTGAGGCTTTCTCTCTTTGCCCGTGCAAGCCAAAGCCTTACTAAAAAATGATAGAAATAGCTATCAAGTGACTTTGATTTTCTTTCCTATTTAATTGGAATCTACTAAACTAAAATTTATATTAACATTGTAACGACCCGACCGGTCGTTTTACTTTCTAGAACCCCGTTACCCTGAATAAGACTTCCCAGACTTGATTTTAGTGATTTATGACTTGCGGGGATGGTTGGTTCAGGATTTGGGAGAGTTTGGGTTGAAATCGAAACACTTGGTTCCTTAAGGTTGGCTTAAAAGGCCAAGTTTGACTTCGGTCAATATTTTGAGTAAACGACCTTAATCGGGATTTGACGGTTCCAATAGGTTCGTATGATGATTTCGGACTGGGGTGCATGTTCGGATTGGGTTTTGGATGACCCGGGAGCGTTTCGACGCCTAATAGTGAAAGTTGGTTCTTGAAGAACTTTGAAGTTCTTTAAATTTGGTTTGGAGCGGGTTTTCGTGATATCAAGGTCCGAATTGAGTTCCGAGACCGGCAATAGTTTCATAATGTCATTTAAGACTTGCACGCAAAATTTGGTGCTATTCCGAGTAGTATAAGTACGTTTCGGCACATTGGAAGTAAATTGAAAAACTTGAAGTTCTTAAGTTTGATTCAATTGGTTTTAGGGTGTGATTCTTAGTTTTAGTGTGGTTTCGGGCGTTCCGAGAGTTTGAGCAAGTCCGTTTTATGATTCCGAACTTGTAGGTACGTTGGGGCGGGGGGCCTCGGGGGCCCCGAGCGTCAATCGGATGAGGCCCGGACCAAGTTGAAAGTTTGGAGCAAGAGCTGAAGTTCCAACTGCTGTCATAACCGCACATGCGGCTGGTCAGCCGCAGGTGCGAGCTCGCAGGTGCAGGCAACGCCTCGCAGATGTGGCCCAAGGAGAGGAGCTCAGATTTTGCAGATGCGGTTCCTTTTCCGCAAAAGCGAGAACCCGCTCGCAGGTGCGGCCCCAGCCGGCCCAGCCAATTCGCAAAAGGGAACACTTGGTCCGCAGAAGCGAATCCGCAGGTGCGGCGTTTGCACCGCAGGTGCGAAAATCGTTAGGGAAGTTTGAGAGGGATTTCCACCTAGCTTTTGGAGGTAAGTAATTTCTATCTATTGTGAGTTCAATACATAGATTTTGGGTAGATTTCAACATGAACATTGGTAGAAATCATGGGTTAGATGAAAAACCTAGAGTTTGACAAGAATGAGATTTTTACCACGAAATTGACCATGAAACTTAGAGATAATCATATATTTATGTTCCTTGGTCATGGGTAACAACCTCCTTCGAAAATTTTCGGAATCTGGGCACGTGGGCCTAGGGGTGAATTTTAGGAATCTTACCTTTGGGGTTGGTAATCACTTTAATAGTTAGAATATGAACTTTTGAACCTATAATGATTGGTTTTTACACTATTTGAATAGTTTTGGATTGTTCGGCTCCGATTTGAGGTTTTGACCGCATTCTTGAATTTGGAAGTAGGCTTTGAGACGAGGTAAGTCTCTTTTCTAACCTTGTAAGAGGGAAATTTCCTCATAGGTGAACTTGATTAATATATGATTGTTTGTGGGGACTACATACGCACGAAGTGACGAGAGTCCCTGCGTAGCTACTATTCTTGTTATATCCGGGTAGTTCTAGGCTTACACCATGCTTTGCGAGTATCGTTATTTTGAAAAGAATTGAGAAAAATTATGTTATATTTATATTTAACCGCGTAGCAAGTATATTCCGCGAGCGGGATGACTATTTCCACTACTCTCATGGGAGCGGCCATTCGCCTCGGCAGGTTAATAGATGCATCTATGGTTCGCGCAGTTCGACCCTCGGCAGTGCACATTTTATATTTTTATGTTGGATCGGGCCGAACGTCCTCGGTGGAATTTGTGTGTGATAATAAAACTGGAAGCCCTTTTTATAGTTGGTATAAATTTACTGTTTTAGAGATCATTTGTTTAGAATGAAGGAAGTGTTTTGGTTTCTTTGATATGATGGAAGAATTGTACAGTTATTTCTTGTTCTGAGTTTATTGTTAGTTCTGTGTATCATGCTTATTTAGAATCACACATTACTATATTGTGGGCCCTAGTAAGTGTCGAAGTCGACCCCTCGTCACTACTTCTTCGAGGTTAGACTAGATACTTACTGGGTACATATTTTTATGTACTCACGCTACAGTTATGTACTTGATTGTACAGGATTTGAGGCAGGTGCATCTGGCCACCAGTCCGGCACGTAGATTGATTCCCCAGCTCGAGACTTCCTGGTGAGCTGCCCTTTTGAGCCATTCTGCAGCAGCTGGAGTCTCTCTTATGCTTTATTTTCTGTTTATTTCCTTTCAGACAGTAGGATAGCATTTGTTTTGTATATTCTACTAGATTGTCCACATACTTGTGACACCAGGTCTTGGCACACACATTAGTAGACCTATGACTTTGGTTTTGTTTACATGACTTCGATTTGTATTCATTGCTTTCACTTATTTATGTTAAAAATTGCAACCTTCTAGATTTTTCTTAACAAACAGGAAAAAATCACCACTTACTAATTTAAGTAAAATAGGAAATCACTAGTTGATCAATGTTGGCTTCCCTAACAACGATGTTGGGCGCCATCACGGCCTATAATGGAATTAGGTCGTGACAAACATTATGCAATTATTATTGTTAATAAAATAATTTATGCAAAAATAATACATCACCCTAGCAGTGCTTTCACATGGAAAAAGACTCACATAACATGCACATGACTCACTTGTCAACTTCTTTAAGGACTAAAATCTCATATTTACTTTATTGTTGTGAAAAAAACTCATCAAGTAACATTAATCTCTCTAGTATGCACATAAATTCTCTTATTATAATATTCGCAATAAGATTTATTCACTTTAAATATATCCATGCCCTGATCGTGGAGAATGAGTTAATATAGGTTTAATATTTTCTCCTTTGGCTTGTGTCAAATTAATTGCTGGAAATATGAGTATTCAAGGTTAGTATTATCAATCTAACCATTATTAGCATTTGCAATGTTATGAAATAGGAAATATCAGAATATATAGTTTTAAATATTTTGTGCTTCATATTGCATGAAACACTTAAATAAGTTACAATCTTGCAGGTGATTCCCATTATACTGAGTGAGATCAATGTTGGAAAGGCACTAAAGTGGATTTCCTTCGCTTATAACTCCATGGTGCTATGGGGAAGTACTAGCACGAAAGTAGTATACATGGTAGAATCTCACAACTTCCGTTATGGTTGGAGATGGTCCTTTGCCACTTCTTGTATTGTGTTTCCTTTTTAGTGAGACCCCGAGGTTTTTCATTAAGAAAGGGCGTATGGAGGAGGCAAAAGCGTCCCTTAAGATGTTGAGGAAATGTGGAGCAGAAGCAAAGTTGCAGATGTTGGCAGACATGATGGAAAATAAAGGCAAGAGGAAAAGGAAGAAACTGTCACACTCGCCCCTTTTACTTCTTAACATAGTGGCTGAAATTTTCTAGCAATTGTTGGGCTTAGACTCAATACTATTCTTTAGACCATTACTTCTACAGTCAGCTGGATACACCTATAATGCCTCCTTCGTCGCTCCGCTCATTGCCGGAGTTGTCCGAGATGGAGTTGTTGGGGCTCATTTATCCGAGTTACAACTTCTTCGACCGACGGAGGACTCTAGTCTCGACATGTTTAGGCATGATTTTAGTACACGTACTTCTTCATTTCTATCTTATTTAGGTTTTCTGTATATAGGTCAACTTTTATTAACTGAAACATAGCATATGTAACTTGATATCACTTTTCTCAGATT